GCAATATAGTCCTTGTTAACCAATCTTTTAACCGAGGTAGTTGCCCGTCGATCATACGCAAAGCAAAGTGCTCTGACAAGTGAAGCACTGAACAGTGCTCCAAGTATGAGATGGGAACTGTTCGCCACCGAAACATGGCATCCAGCGCCGTCGGGTAAACGTTTGACGTGGGCTGATCCGAAAGTAGGAGAGCTCGATGGGAAGGATCTGTAAACTGCACATTGAGCATATAGTCCGTCAGAGCGCCATCGAGGTATAGGCCCTCTCCAGCACCCGGAATGGATTCACATCGTTCCTATGTCGAACGCGCAAGTTGAGTTAGCGGAGGGTTATCCACCTTGTTTTCCCCAGCATACCTGCACAAATGGTATACACGTAGTCCCATGCAAAACTTCATACACATTTTCCTTGACGAGCTTAACGAATCTCGTGTTATTTTCACCTCCAAAACCATTTGCCAGAAATTTGGGCACTTCATCTCCAGAATAAAATACAATCCTTTCGCACAGTCCCGTCAGCGCACGTTCATTGACCAAGTTGCCGACTGCGTAGCATCCCAGTACAGCCCGCAGAGCCCAATCCGGGAGTTGCTGGTAGGAATCACGAATATTAGATACAATAATGGCCAATCGGAACTGCGGGTGGGTGAGAATGTCTGACATAAGGTCCGGTGGGGCGACTAGTCGGTAGAGCTGGTCCATCATTGGACGAAGAATTTGGGGCGTATCCTGCATTCAACAGTCAACCACCAATACTATCTCGGCCACTAGGTCATATCAGAATTAACCCACCCCGGCATTGTACTGCATCCAGCAATAGTGCTTCATCAGCTCTTCCGTCAAATTTCTCTCAGTAGAAACGAGGCTTCCGATTAAGGCCATAAACCTCATTGCTCCAGTGGACGATCCTACAAGCCATTTGGTACCGCTTAATTTGCTCTTGGCGTACAGATTCTTGATACGCGATTCAAAACCAGTCGTTGTCAACCCGGATGGTCCAGATGCGGGTGCTATGTAGATGCTGACCAGAGTTATGTTGAGCCATGCCTCCAACTGATTCCCAATGACAACAGAGTGTATGAAACCTGAAATAATCCAGATCTGCGCTCTCCAAGCTCTGGCGCTCTGTTTGATGAATCCTCAAGCACTGGCTGGGGATAAACTTGAAAAAATGCGGTCCGCCATCGGTCAGCTGGCGATGCGTACTCAGACAACGACGCTGCGCGCAATTGGTTTGCACCCGATACCGCGCTTCTTTGTTGCCTTTGACAGTATGAGATCGGATGCGCTCTGTCTTGGGCATGGCGTATAACCTGAAAAGTAATCGGAACACCCGGGATACTCTTACGTATCCTATCACAAAGTTTAATGGAGGCCTTTCATGTCATACACTCTGGTTTGACACCAGATCAACTAGATGAACCTCACCTACCAAACTCGACCCTGTGGCCGTCAAAGATGCAAATGAAGGCATCCTTACGCAAGACTTAAGGGATGGATCGACACCTTCAGGTACGAAAGATCGACCCAATCCTCATCCCATTTTGCACAGTTTCAGATCCACATGAAGTGATTATGTCAGCATAGTGCTAGATTATCTAATGCATCATTCTAAAATCCGGCACATTCATTACTTCTTTGTCGGCTCAAGCAATCTGGCCCATACAACCTCCGGATCATCTGCAAATCTTGGCAATCCTTTACATATATCTGCAATCATCTGAATATGATCCTAGAACATGGGATTATTTAGTACATTATAATGCAGTTGATCCAAATAATGATGTTTATTTATCTTACATATTGAGAAGGATCTTGTCCGAAGGCATTCTGACGTTGATGTAAAACCGCTATTTTTGAGCGAAAATACGTATTTTTTATCCGGGCCTGTGTTCGGCATCTGTTGAAAACTGAGATGTAGGTGCATTTTCAACAGTTATAGCAACATAGGGTTCCATACAGTTCGCGTTCCCGTTCATGAGGTGTCAGCTCGTACGGTTGCAGTCGTGGCTACCCAAGAAAACGTTGAGCTCTAAGATTTTGACAGATAAGCGGGTTCAAACTAACCTCCTTTAAGCCGTCTAATACATTCCTCCATTGGACACGATGAAGCCATCGTGCTGGAATGGCTGCTTTATGCCCATGATCGATCATGATTGTCTCTGTATCTGGCGCTTCAGGCACACGTTCATTTTTGTGATGTGACACACGGGAGAGAAGGGTGTCCAGAGCGATATGCCGACCTACATGAAATTGGTTTAGCGGGAGGGTCTCATGTTAATCGCCACGAGTAACCTTACCATGGCGGACTGGGTCATTCCCAGGTTCGCGCATATCAGGTTCCGGGCGCTTTTGGGAACAATTTCTCAATACTCGAGTACGGAGGGCGCTGTAGAGACGAGATTGAATGGATTGGTACCGAGCCTGACATGTGCAATTGAGCAGATTAGAGCGATCTAGCATAACGGATACGATGAGAGAAGACATACAATCTCGTTCTCGGCTTCTTGTTCACTTCTGGTATTCAGTGACTCGGGCTCACAAGACATCCAACTGCCTATATCTTCAAAATCACTTTCATACTGAACTTCTGGCTGTGGCATGGTCGACGTTGATCGGGGACTGTTTTCCGTGACAGACTCAAAGTCTTCAGTATACTCCAGATCCTCGCCATCTGTTCTACTTGGGACATCATTTGAAATGACAGGGATGGTCTGGTGCCGGGGAGTGGCAGACCCACTATTGACTGATCCATATGTTTCACTACCAAGCTCATCGGAGGACAGAGTATCTGGGAGGCTGCAGCCCACGGCCTCCGCACTTTCACTACCCGACTTTAGAGAAGCGTTGATTTCTGATATCGATGATTGCGTGCTGAGCTGCTGATACGCATCCTCTGGTGGAGTTCGGTTCTCCTCATGAATCGATTCAAAATCTTCCAGATAATCCTCTATCGACTCCATGTCCGTGTCGATATGCGACGAGGTGATTAACGGAAGGTGGGGGATGATAGATGTGGTAACTTCTGGTTCCAAAGCGCACGGCGCAGTTGGTGGACTACTTGAGGTGGACTTGTACGATTCACTGGCGGTGTGCAAAGCCACGGATGCCTCAGATACGCATTCCGGTTCACCTGAACCCTCTTCAACTATCTCGTCCAATGTCTCATGACTAACTGTATCTTGTGTCTCTACTTGCCCGAGGGGCACGGAATCTCTTTCGGATATGTTGTTAGCTTTCAACTCATAGTTACTGTCGGGAGCCGCTTCGTTATCGGACATAGCCCGGTTTCCGTCCTTTTTCGTCCGTTCCACTTCAATACCCTGCCCATCGATTGTACCCGTTACATCGACAATACCCCCGAGGGACTCGACAAAGGCATCTATGTCATCCACATCCTCAAAGTCATCTGCATAGGAATCTAATTCATAGTCATTATTCTCGGATTCTACGGACAATTCTCTGGTAGAGTATGAAGAGGGGAATGACTCTGCAGTACGTATGGATTCCGCAGAGCATATGGACTCTGCAATGGATTCGGAACTAGAATTAAACATATCCGGACATTTTGACCTACAGCGCTTGGGAAGACGCGAACGTTCATTGAGATGCGCAGCACCGCGTTTTCCTCCATGAAATGATGTTCTTGTCCACAATAAATTTTGTCTATTTCATTGCCTCCAATGTCCTAACCGACCATGTACAATTCATCTACAATTATCGTTAAACAGTGTCAACCACTACGAGTGACACTCTCAACATGTCCTTAGCTCCAATCCACCAAACAAATATACAAGCAGACAGACATGACAAAAAAGCAGTCTAGTCCTTTTTCACTCCTGAAGGTACGTTGATATTGATAGAGACCGCATCCACGAACGTGTCGGTGGATCCAACGACGTCCGCACCAGCGGAGCGAACCATAGTACGAAGATCTGCATACTCGCCCTCGGCGAACGGTGCTCCCCAGGTGGTAGGGTCCAGTTTGCTGGGACGTATCATGACACGGACGAGCTCCTCGCGAGTGGTGTGGCAGAACTCTTCGACCCGAAGGTCGTTTTCATCTGAAAGGTTTTACAATATATATGAGCATCGGACGACAAAAATGAGCGCGTCAGTAATACCAACCGTATCCGAACGGGTTCTCAATTTCTCCACCAATACTCTCGATACCCAATAGCGTGAAGGCAGCGATGAATATGATTGGGATTGTTCCCCAATACACCGTGCTCACCAGTTGGAATGGTAACGAAAGGATATAAAGCGTAAGAGTTTGCTGCAGATGGATCGAATACGCCAAAGGAATCGGAGTGTTGCGAATACGTTCAAATGATGTGAGACAATCCACCATTGCCGACAGGGCGTTTGTCATGGCAGTCTGCTGCGACACGTCAATGAGCTCTATATGGACAATGTTTCAGTCAATTGGTAGATCTGCCAATGTGTGGGGCGAGAACAGTACATACCCAACTCTCGACATCTTCCAATGTAAGATGATATATGGAAGGAGATTTCCAATGGTAGGTTCTTGATCTCCGGGTGTTTGACACCAGGCACAAAATCCGGCAAGTGTATTAAAAGATGGTGTAGATCTGTGTATTTGTGGCCAAGCTCGTTCCGGAGGTAATGCTTCGTGGCCACGGCAAACGCAAGGAGAAGGTTCATGCAGCCCTTCTTTTCCAAGTTCTGGTGCTCGTCGCGCCCTTGCACACCAATCCAAACAAACCGTGCCAAATTACGGACTTGCGTGACAAGAGTTCCCCAGAGGCGACGTCCTTCCCAGTATCTGAAATGATGGAACAAATCAGTCAGCTGGAAACTAATATGGCAGCAGTAAACAATACTGACCTATCATATGCCGTGTTCGTTCTGAAAACCAAGAGCAACGAGATGACCACACCCAAAATCGTAATCAGCTGTGGCGGTATAACAAACCATTTCACATTGGCGGTCATGTAGAGTGCTGTCCACAACGTTCCCCACAAAGTGTGAATGATCGCTGGCCAAAACACCCTGGGGATCACGGACGCCTTTATTCTAATAAGGTCCCCGTATGCATGCTTTGCTTCGTTTCTAATCTTGTGCGCCCGAATTTTGCGTTCGACCAGCTCGGCCTTGCTAAGCTCGCCAGAGATACGAGGAAACCCATGAGAAGGCCGACGTAAATGCCGAGGAGACGGAGGCGGTTGGGCTCCACGCTCCTGTGAGACGTCGTTGCCTCCTTGAATGAGTACGTGCTGAGACGTGGCGGGAGTCACAATGGTAGGGGCATCGGCCCCGCCGTCTCCAAAGTCCATTCTTGCTAAAATCTTTGAAAACGATATGAATTCTACTAGCTTGGAAAGGCCTACCAACGACGTTTCCTTCTCACCTGCACTCAGCACAATTCGCCTAAAACGCCGTGTTAACGTTTTCAGGAACACTTTTGCAGAGTTCACGCAAGATGGAGGTGAAAGAAGGAACAAACCTTCTTTTCCAAAACAACGACGACGAGGAAGAGCGCTGCGGATGAGATCCATTCAGCCGGGTGTAGTCACTGTGCCACCGGTCTGACGGCCAGCCAAGGGTTGAAGGCCGAAACCCATCTCCCCTGGGATGCTTTGTTGACCTTCCTTGTTTTTCAATACATTTTTATTAGTGTTTTCTTTTTTTTTTTTTTCTTCCAAAAGTAGGGTATGCAGGATATGATCCAACACGATTTGACATATGCGGAAAGATATCAGGACGGATGGTCGGGAGCGTCAGTCGGACGGCAGGGGCGACGCTCCGCCATGTATCCCGCCCGTCCCGCCCTGCCAAGTGATCCTGTGGTCTGCGGCGATCGCATGTATCTGCATTTGAACGCCCGCGCATGTCGTTTGCCAAACTCCAGCGCACCGGCCCTATCACAAAAATAATGTGCATGTCTTGTTTATAGCTTAACGTGGATGCAACAACTTCTGCATGATTACCAGTATTGGCTATTTGCATACCGAATAATGGCGAGAAGCGGTCCATCTGGTCAATAAACCAGCTACTAGGCTATTACATAACACATGCCAAAGTGTTCATCTATCATCACACTCTCCTTAGTAAGACTTTATCAGCAGCAGTTTGTGACAAACTTGATTTGGGGGGTATGCAGTTGAGAATACCTTGCAAGCGAATCTCTGCCACACCTGACAGACAAACGCATTGCAGTATCCAGCGGCGCCTTTCAGCCGTGCCATAATACCGTATGACAATTAGGACCATATACCCCACTGTACTTGCCGCTCATATCACAGTGCGCAGGTTCCTTCTGGGAGTCCCTTCGTATTCACTTCAATTGATGAGATTCAATTAAAGTATTTTTTGACATGGTACCGTAGATACACCATGTTCTTCTGGATTTTCTGCATGGACAAACGATTGGATGTGGGTTGCATTCGCCAATAATATTCATTTCATTCGTTGAAACCAATGACGTTTTTGATTGTCGATCGCTCCCTGTGCTTTGGGGTGCATGCATTGAATTCAACAGTTTAGGTGCAGTATTGTGTGACGCCGACGCTTATCAAATAAATGACATAGTGGTCATTCATCAACTCCGACACAACCTACAACGACAGGTGCAGGCAGACAGTTGACTGGTAAGCACCCTAGCATCCGTACTGGTTCAACAGCTGGGCGGGAAGAGGAGAATCCAGGATCCATAGCCATAATTATGTCGATACATGGGCAGGAGGATCGAGAAATCCCATAACCGCGTCACGCCCGTCTAGGAACAAAGCCGGCCAGCCCGCCAAAAGAAGCTTCTCATCTTTATGAACGGGTTTTTAAGGCTCACGCCACGCCCGATATCAAAGAAATGAAAAATGTCTCCGAAGCTCCGATATTCTAGCAGTTTATAAAAGATGGCTAGAAAGCACGCAAAGTGCAGTACGCCCGCTCACAGATTGTTAATTATTTTCATTGAATTCGGTGGGGAAACAGGCTCCTTTGTTTTTCTTCCCCCCTCATAGTCCCCGTCCATGATTTGACAATAGAACAATAACGGTTTTGCATCATGTGGCTTTCGGTGGTGACAGTCGTGGCTCCTGAGGATCCGTCTAATATGTCTACGGAAACGGACCAAGTTCGTGATGGTCCAATCTTTTTTATTCCGTAGAGGGATGGTACTTTCACTGACACCTCTTTCGTCTTGGATTTCCTTCGTCTGTCCACCAAATTTCACTGCAACCTTGAATTTACAGTATTACGTAATCTGTTTCCGACGCAGTTGACCAGCCCGAACAGATCACCGTTATTACCATGGCCATTGATTCCCCCGCAATGTTACCCGCGCCAGCATCCCATTGCAGGTTCATTATTCTTCTCTTTCTCTTATTGTATAATATCCGGGTGGATGCTCAACCCTGGCCCGTAACATACATCTCCGCAACTACTGGACAAGACACAGTTGGATGCGGTGCAGCGGTGGATACGGCTTGCAAGGGCTTGCAGGCGGGAATCAACTCGACCGCGGAGGGGGGTCTCATGTGGGTTCAACCTGGGATATACCAAGGACCGGGGAATGTGGACTTGAAATTGGCCGGTAAAGCGATAAGGTGAGTTGCACAGATTTTTGAACCTTCTGAGAATGGAACCTCACTAATTTCATGCCGATCGTTCCAGGATGCAAAGTACCCATGGCGCCCAATCCACGATCATTGATGGCGGCAAGGCAAACAGAATCCTTTCCTTTAATACGGGGGACGGCAATGATGCTTTCATATCCGGATTCACCTTTCGGAACGGGGCCGCGTCATGGGGCGGGTGCATTGGTATCGGAGGTAGTGCAGCACCAGTGAGTAATCATGTGATTTTTCAGCTCTTGCCTGTCGCTTCGCGGGTAACTCAACTTCTGCCGCAGATAATTGAGGATTCTATCTTTACGAATTGTCAAACGTCTGCACAAACCGCCGGATCGTTGGGACAGGAGCAGGTAGGGCAGCAGACGCGCATATTATTCTCCAATCGTTTACGATTATGTCTTAACAGATTCCTCCATCCCGTAGAGTGGCGCTGGGGGAGCGGTCTACGTCGGCGGAAATTCCTCTCCCACCTTTCGTCGCTGCAACTTTACTTTCAATTGGGCTGAATTGGGGGGTGAGCAAATGTCTTCCTTCCCTGGTCGAATAAATCATCTAATAGGTTACAACTACAGGCGGATCGGCATGGCTGACCGATAATTCAAATGCAACATTCCTGCATTGCCATTTTGAGAACGAATCTGCACGGCTGTACGGTGGATCAGCTGTTCTCGAGGGTGCCAGCGGTGGAGTGTTTGAACGATGCGTATGGAGGAATAATTGGTCGCAGTATGGTGGCGCCTTGGACTCTGGGGGAACGTAAGTCGCGTGTGAAGATTGACCGTTTGATGCATTGTTTATATTTACTTGCCTTTGATACGTTGGTGACTCTCAGGAGTAGTACGAAACTCGTGAACTCTCTCATTGTTAATAGTTCGGCTGAAATTGGTGGTGCAGTGTACCATTACACAAACAGCGTCAACGAATTCATAGGATGCACCTTTATCGATAACAAAGCTACTGGCAACGGAGGTACCCATTATTCGTACATTGGCTTCCTGCTACATCTGAGAGTATTAACTCAAATCTCCCCCCATAATTAGGGGCAGTCATTGTGACAGCCAAGTCACAGCCCATATACAAGTCCTGCACCTTTATAAAAAATAAAGCTGGGGGAGTTGGCGGAGTGTTTCATACAGAGATATTTGGGAAGCTGATCATCGACAATTGTACGATGGTACAAAACTCTGCAACCGCCGGCGGCGGTGCCATAGCAGGGAGATTGAATGCAGAAGTTACCATGAGCGATTGTACCTTCAAAAACAATTTTTCGGGGAGTCATTCAGGTATGTTATTTATTGCAACTCGTGGTTGAGCTCTGAACACGACCTAACGGAATAGCGCAATAGGCGGCCTGGAAATAGCCGATTCAGTCATGGTCACAGACAGGAACTCCTCATTCATTGGCAACACCTGCGACACCGATTCTGGGGCCGCTCTTGTCCGTGTCAACGCATCCTTCTCAGCCCACCAAACCCGTTTTCTCAACAATACCGCATCATCGACTGGCGGAGCCCTACGAGTCTCGGATTCTGGAAGGCTGAGTTTGACAAATGTGCTCGTGATTGGTAATAGAGCTAATAGGACTGGAGGTATGTCATCTACCTGTTCTCCTCATACGGAACTGGTATTGTATTTACACTTATACTTTGACACTAGGGGGGCTATATGTGAGTACATATGGAAGTGTAATGGTGGCCGACTCGGTGATTGCAAATAATTCAGCGGAGGAGCATGGAGGAGGTAATGATTTTGATTACGATCGAATTGTGTTTAAATGTTGACTCTTTTTCCGAAGGCATCTTTCTCAACACGCCTTACTCAGCCAGTAATTCCGTCTCTAGCAAAGGCTACGTGACGCTAGTCAATACCAACGTCACCTACAATGTAGCCGAATACGGTGGAGGCGTTGCTGTAGATTCCTCCTTGCCGATCTTCCTTCAATCATCCCACTTACTCTACAATCGTGCGCATTTCGGCGGTGGAATGTGGTTACGATCCGCTGGGAGTACCATGGATCCATCAAGCTCGATTGTTGGCAACACTGCGGAACGTTTAGATGTGGACGTTCTTCCGTCAAGTTCTCAGTTTGGAAATATGGATGACGCCTCAGCACAAAGCAATAAGAGTCTACCCGATGGATTATATGATGATTCGGAACCAAGCAACTTTCGCGGTGGAGGTGGGGGTGGAATTTTCCATGATGGGCCAGGGTCCCTTTTCTCGTGCCTTTCCTACTGCGACATCAGAAACAATACTGCATCGTACGGCGCCAACCATGGTGGTTCACCTCGCATCCTACAACCTGATCCGCCGTTCTTTTTTGCGTCCCCAAAAGATACATTCTCCATCAGTGTCTCTGTTCTTGACGCTTTCAACAACACCGTCGATGATACTTCTGATCAAATGGTCGTCACGCTCTATCCGCGATCTCAGCAGGGTGCACCATTAGAATTGATTGGGCAAGGGCTCAAGAAACGCGTGGTCGAGAATGGGGTTGTGCGATTTGGACCGTTGAGTGTGATTGGGTACTTGAACAGAAGCTACAAATTAGGACTGTGGAGCGATGGGCTACCCGGGGCAGACGTTGAACTCCAGATTGTTAGTTGTGGTCCTGGTGAGTCGTCATTTGTTTATTTTATGAAGCGTTCGAACATTGCTCAGTATGCTTTTCTTATGTACGCAGGATATCAAAACAGTGCAGACCCGTATACAACTCCCTACACATGCCATATGTGCGTCAACTCCTTTTCTCGCATCCCCGACTCGGATTGCCTACCTTGTCCAGCGGGTGCAACCTGTCAAGGTCCCAATGTAACAGGTACTTGCTACAATAATTTCCAGAAATGATGGACACTAACATGCTCACTACGTAATGAAGCGGAACCTGGTTTCTGGATAGATCCTACTACACCTGCAGATGCGATTCCAAACGTGTGGCGATGTCCGCCTGGCCAATGCCTTGGTGACTCTAGATGCGCAGAGCACAGAACAGGGATACTGTGTGCAGAGTGTGAAGAGAATTATAGGTATATTTCGATTGTTGTTACTCTATTTAGAGTATGGATTATGTTCGTAGCTGACATTTCTGGTTCCAGCGATTGGCGAGGCAGTGGCATCTGCGAAAGATGCGACCGAGATGCCCCAGAGTGGCTCCTGATTCCTATCATCGCCGCGTTCATCATCAGTGGGATTCTTCTCCGCTTTCCCTCCCTATGCAAATCGAGTATATCAGCGACTCTCGTCTTCTTTGTCCAGTACTCATCCATTCTCCTCCCTGCATCCCCTGGATTTGAAATCATCACCCAATCCCTCAACCTTGCCTTCGACTGGATCAACAAGCTTAGTGGTACCAGCTGTATTTTACGGTTGAGCAACTTTGGGCGGATCCTTTTTGGAGGTTTCTTCCCATTAACGGGCCTAATGAGCTGTCTGGTGTGGGGGGTATTTATCAAGTTGTGGTATTGCTTGAGAGGCTGGAGGAAGAGTCGAAGTGCACGGTCTGCGGAGGCAGGGATGCCGGATGGGGAGGAGCCACGAAAGGAAGGAGCTGTTCCGAAAGAAGTAGTAATTGCATGGATCAATGCTTTTTTGTTCATTGTTTTATGGGCTTACCTGTTGATCTCGAGGTATTTCTTCACAACCATGTGATTGTAAGGTTATTCATTGCATTAACCAGCTCATTCCCATGTAGAGTCGTGTTGCGTCTACTCTCCTGTGCGACCATCGCCGGCCGGTACGTTGTCTCTGAGGCGCCCGATCAACTCTGCCAACAAGGCGCACATGCAACATGGTGGGCCATAGGATGGACGCTCGTCGTGATGTGGGTAATTGGTCTCCCTGTGGCTCTGGTCGGATTTCTGAAATGGGCACTTGTGGCTCGTGCGAGAGGCGGATCTCGGTTCTGGGTTGAGGCTCTTGAGCAAATTTATGCAGATTTTAAACCAAGATTTTGGTTTTTTGAGTTTGTGTTTTTGGTGAGGAAGCTGGTCGTTGTGTTGTTGGATGTGTTTACCCTATTTGATCCTGTGAGTGATTGCAAATGATTTTGTTCGTCATGAGTCGAATACTTATTGCTCATTGACCGTTACAAAACGAAACAGGTTGCCAAATCCCTCGCGGCGCTCATGTTTGCCTTTGCCAACATCCTCATCCTAACCTTCCTCATCCGCCCCTGGCGCCGGACGCGGGACAATCGTGTTGAAGAGCTGCTGCTTCTAATCCTCCTCCTTGAAGCCGGTCTCTCTCTTGGCGAAAGCAGCGCCAATACCACTGCATCTGCATCCGCGGCAACGCATCCCGGAGATCTCATTCAACGACTCCAGCTCGCTGGGCTTTGCCTGGGGATCATAGCTGCCCTTTTGATCGCTGTACCTGGCGTTAGAAGATTTCTTGGTCAATTGCGGTTTAAAATTTTGGGGCCGTTGGATGAACCCAGGGCTAAAAGCCGCGACAAAAGACCGAGAGTTTTGGCGGCATCTTCGATGACCATACATGGATCACCCTCCCTTCGTCCTGACGAAGAGAACGAGGCGTCAAATCCATCACATAACACCGACTCCATATTGTCATCTGGCGACGAGCAAGAGGACCCAGAGTCACCGCCTTCCGACCTGTTTCCAAATTCCCGATCAACCCTCCGGCCCCTCAAGGATCCAGATGTCGAACAAGGACAATTGACACTGCCCTCGGCACCAACTTTACTGATACCGCCACTACAATCAGCCTCTCGCCGTGGTTCAAAATCCAGCAATACCTCCGTCATGTCCACGATGCACGCCACGCAAAAATGGGTAGAGGAGAAATCAATGAGCACAGGGTTATTGTCCAATGCCCATATCGCTGCTGCGTCGCTCGAATTGAGGAGACCGGGCGATTTTGATGGAATGGGTGGGAATGGAGATTTGGGAGATGGTTTGCCCTAACAACCCTTGTTTGTGAGTAAGTAATGTTCGAGTGTGTGTTTTACATGTAGATATAAAAGAGGCGCAAAGACGCTGTTTATCTTTCTGTGCCTGTGCATAATAGTAATAGTAGAGTATGTTCTGAAGACAAACAAAAACTAGTTTCATGAACCTTGTGCATTTCCTCCCAGCCTACCTAATGTACAATACTATGCTGCCCTCACCAACTATCGCACTTTCATATTAGAGAAAATACTTTAAAATCTATCGAATTGACCCTCCTGCCGAGGTCCGGCTCCATTTGCCCTTCTTCAATCTGTCTGCCACAACCTCCTGTAGCCTCCTTACGGCTGCGGGGAGCGTCTTAGACGCAACATAGCGGACCACAGCGTCCGCTGACTGCCCAGATGAAGCAGGTGAGGAAAGTAGGTGGGTTAGAATGCATTTTGATGCATGCGTCGGATGGGGTTCTGTAGCAAAACAACCATAAATGTGAGCCAAGTGGTACCAACAACCCAACCCTCTAATACGTACCGCAGACGATCCCCGACAGGTCACCTTCTCCATTTTCATCCTTCGCAACCCGCCATAAAAGGCCCACAAGGCCTCCCTTTCTTTCCATTCTTCTTGAATGGGATAGGACAACACTTTCAAGCTCCTGGCCCGGGTTTCCTTCTCCTTCCGCAAACACCGCATGGTGGATCGACGTATGGTCGTCGATATACTCGATGCAACGAGAGGACTTACACGAAGGGTCCCAAGAGGGACGCGTTGGGAGGGACGTCAAAGTTTCGAACTGGGAGTGCAAAAGTCAACGATAGATCAAAGAATCATGATATACGAAGGGGTAAAACTAACCACGGCCTCTAAGGGCCCAGTCATCTCTGCAACAACTTTGAATTTGAAGGCGCTATCGGAAGTATTGATATAAACCGACGCATGACCATCCTTTGACACTTGTTCCCATCTACTTTCATCCTCCATGTGTTCAAAGACGTCTGCCAACATTGCATCAATGTCCTCCGCATATCGATGCGCAGTGCTTTTCTCATCCACTTTAATATCTTTCAAGATGGCATTATCCGTTGTACTATCCTCTGCTGTTTGCAGAGCAGCAGAAACTAGTGGTGAGACCATACTCTCAAATGCGGGTGTTAATGGGAGAGAGATACGTGGGGCAGGGCTCCACCGCTTCTTTGTGGCAGAAGCCCCAATGGTCAATTCAGGGTTCTGAGTGCTGGACTCCTCCTCATCGTCCTGATAAGATTCAATGACGGATACAGCGTCATCCGCTTGCTCTTCCATCTTTTCCAGCTCCTCCACAAGCCGTTTTACAGCTCGTGGTGCAATCATTGTAGTCATAAACTCGGAAACGGATGTTGCCAGATTGACATGGTAATTCACGTCGTGGATGTGCGTTAGGCGACAACGTGGTTGATCATCTGAATTGCCAACAGATTCTGATATGCAAGATACGATCCGTTACATTTCGCTCAACGTACGATAGAAAACAAAATCCTTCTCGAATTCCGTACCTATAATCGTTCCACAAATATTCACATCCGATATGATCCCTTTGACACCGTCCGCCTGTATGGTCTCCCAATCCCATTGGACCGACCTCTGCACAATTACAGCTCGTCCATCGCCCAATCGCTGTGCATGGTACAGCACAACCATGTCACGAGGGACGGCAGGGAAAACGCCCTTGGTGCGATAATATTGGATACGTGAGACTTCCCTGTGGGTAGTGGTGAATATGCGGAGCGTTTGAGCTTTTTGGGTCATGTCATCCCATTTTTGTCGCGACTGAGATCTTGTTAATTCAAGACAGAAAAAAGATAGCGAGTAACTGATTGGTACTTACTGCTGGATCCATGAGGAACTGGAAAGCTGTTTCAAGTGAAGCTTTTACCTCCACATCAAACTAAATAGTATATTCGATTAATAGTCTGAACACGTATAGTAATATAAGCGAAAGCGCTTACCCTCCAAGCCTCTGGGATACTCTTATGCTGCATCAATTGATACCCGGTTGAGGTACCTGCTTCTCTTCTCTCATTCCATTGCACCTTGTCATTAACAAGATGCAATGTGGTTTTGATCATCATCTCAATATCTCTCTCATAGTGGAGGGGAAGTCCGGATGTTGATAAAGACGACGCATCCGAGATGACGCGAGAAGTCTCTGTTTGGCTTGGCGACTCGGAAAATGGTCGGCTACTAGGGGAAAGGGTTGCAGAACGCGGGGTGGCTGGCGGGGTAATTACGGGTGACTTTCCGGGAAGTACAAGAGGTGGAGGAATGGGTCTTGGGGTAGGCGTCGCGTTGATGGGCATGGGCGCCGCCTCTGGAGCTTGGGAATTCCCAGTTTCAACAATGGGGACCTCTGCGACCGGCGCGACTGAGGATGACACAGCTTTGACGCCCTCCCTCATAGTAGGGACGGTCACGGGTGGGACTGATTCTGCAGTCGAGGATGATTGCACACTGCTGGCCGATATCGATGGAGCATTCCGTTGCTTCGACGTCCGTTCTCCGGCCCTTCTCCGAACCGCGTCGTTCACATCCATCACGGACGGTGGCACCACCATGTCCTCCAAGGGATCCACTGGAAACTCGCCAAAATGCTTGGGACTCGCCAGCATTCCTCTCACCTCGGCCGACGGCGCCGAGATTGTCCGCTCACCTGGGAGGACCTTCCAAAACACTCCCCCGTTTCCAGCTACAATTGTGTTCGCTCGTCCTCGTTTAGCTAATAACTCGATATTGGCCGATGAGGTGGGGCCCGGTTTGGATTCGGATGTCGGTGCGATAATGAGGTACAAGATGCTAACGCACATCAGTTGGTATATGGTGCGTTGAAAAGAGGAGACCTCCGAATGTGCTAGTGCTGTTGGATAAAGTAATAGTATCGATGAGCAAGAGAGCGACGCTATCTTAAAGGAACATCCAAAGCGTACCTTGATCAACAAACACAAGTACTGGAGCGATCATGGCGAACTTGAGCAAGAGAGCCTTATTCGCTTCGGACATTGGAGGAGAATCAACATGTTTCGTTTGTTCGACTACGGTCCGGGTTTGGGCTTTCTTGTTTTTCTTTGAAAATCCGACCATGGTTGGCTGTGAGGCTCAAGCGTTCGATCGTAAAACAGGATAGGCTATGAGGTGCCACGGTAGCTAAAAGAATGAGGCTCTTGGGCAAACCCAAGATTATAAGAGCACCACCACCAGAAACAAGCTAGTTTTGAGCGATAATGTCCAAATGTATATCTCCTCCTCCGCCGTCAAAAAAAGAAAATAAACAAACGTTTTCTTCCTGCTCAGGACAGCGGCTCCAAAATGCAAAAAGCGCTGACAGCAGAAACGCTTTCGCCAAAACCATCGGCTCTGGCTAAAATTCGAAATCTAACTGATATGGCGGACATCATCGTCATTACCTCTAAAAAGGGTAAAAAAATGTCAAAAACAAAATAAAAAACATTTTTGAACACCTTTTTGGAACACTCAGCTCATTTACACGAATTAGGAAGGCTGGTTCCAGTTGGTTTATTCTTCCACATTGGAGTTATCTCGCTATGTCCCGCATAACAAGAACATTGTTTTGCTGGACCGCACCCGAACACTATCCGACATTCCGTCATTTTTGGCAGAACAATGGCTCCATAGCATACGATATTTCAACAGCCATGGGGTAGAACTCATTTCGTATATGTATAATATATATAGGACATGCGCAATACAAAATTATTCACAAGCATTTCGCCACAGCGTCGCATTCAGCGGCCTCTGCCCAAACAACCAAAGCACCCACGTCTCTATTCCCCCAGCCTCTACCCTAAGCGCCATATTCATCGTCTCTTCAGTTTCAACTTTTGCCGGGCCATGCTCTTTGATCTGGCCTTCATCTTCTTCTTGTAAGCATTCCTGCTCATAAACAGTCGTTCTTTCTCTGCCTTTGTCATTGGTTTTGACTCTGTTTGGGTCTTCTCTTCACTATCTACATCCATAGTCGCCACAGTCTCCTCCGTTTCGCGTGTTCGTCCTCGTTCGTCTACCGTCTCGGCGACTTGGTGCGTTGGCTCCTGTGTTGCGAGTGCTTCAGTGGTGATAGAAGTGGCGGCCTCCGTTGCTGCTTTTTTCTGAACGAGACGCTCCAATCGGGCGGTTTCTGCGGGTCCAAATATCTAATAGCAAAAGTTGTCAACAATCGCCCAGGGATATTGAGCGACGTTCTTCTTGTTTGAATGATGCTCTGGTGTAATATCCCACATACCGTCTCCCGCTTAATTGCCCTGTTGCGTCGCATCGACTTTGACCGTAGTCCCTTTGCCATTTCGTGAGTTTGAAGTTTGAGCGGTAGAGGAAAGTGCCGTCAGCGGAGTTGCGCTCTGTTGAGACGACAAGGCGAAAAACAATTCGGAGAGGCGCAGCTTCATATGACCTTTAATGGGTAGATGATGTGCCACGTGATGTCCCAGCTCTCGGCTCGAACGGATTTTGAATCCACAAAGTGCCTTACGCTCGGACTAAGGCCAAACTGCAGCAACTCTGCAAGCTTGTTGGTGAACTCATATCCAACCAGTAATCCTTACAAAAAAGAAATCCAGAAAAAGCTAATATCAAGAGGGTTATTGTGGAGGTCCATGACACCTCCAATTCGGTGTGGTTGGAATTGGTGCATCACGTCAGCACCCACGCGAACACATTTTATGATAAAACCACCATCAAGTCCAAAGGTTTCAGCCCAGCCAATTCATTTCCATCTCAGCTTTTGTGCTCTACACTACGACATTCTCTCACTGCATAACCGCACGCTGGCGTTCCTACGAAGATCAAACTCTACGTCGCATATCGATGGAGATAGCACTGTAAGTCCCTCCCACTTTGACGGGAAAAACAACAAAACTTACATACTTTCCAGCTCTCGACCTCCAAGTAAGTAGTCAACCCTCGGCAAGCAAGGCCAACGTCCTTCTCACGTCCAATTAGCGTAAACCGATCATCATGGAACAACAGCGAGCCACACACCAGAACCTTAGATCCGCGAGAACTGATGTACAGTTTTGCGAATAGGATCTTGCATTCAAGGTTTTGGAAAGCTTTCTACTTTCTGATGGCATTTCTGAGTGTGGTCCTGTTGGGTGTGGTATGTTACCTGATTCTAAGCGGTATCTATGCGGTTCTGATAACTGACGGCAGGCTGCTTATAGACACTGGTTGAGAAATGGTATGTCAAAGCCGCCATGATAGGAACCCCGAAAACCAGGCAAACAAGCTGACCTGTACACTTTTCCCAGTCCGTCCTTTTGGTTTTACGTTCTCGAATACATTCTTAATATCTCCATGATTCTTGAAGTATCTATCCGATTCGTGGCTCTCGGAAAGGTAAACCTTTCTTTACTGTCTGTTGAATGAGCATGCCTCTGACACACCACACTACACAGCTCTTTTGGACCTCCTACTGGAACTTGGCTGACCTCTTGATGATCCCCCTATGCCTCATAACACTCTTCCTCCAAAACTCTTCAGAATGTACATCAAGCACCCGACGAGAAGCTGAAATGGAAGAGATTTTGCTGATCGTTCGGAACGTGGTTCTCTTGGGACGGTTGATTGTTGTCGTCGAAAAGTGCGTCTGGCTCCCCTCTCATGACATCCTAGTTTTGTTTTACTTACTTATGTTGTGTCTTATCCAGGAACCGAAAGCAGATGTACACCAAATCTACACCAATAGACTTTACCACCCTTAACGGGAAGCCACTGGATCTTATGGGAGATGTATTGCCAGGTGGTCAGATATTACCGGCCTACCATCAGAGCTGGGAAGAAGAGGATGATTTTATATGAAATGTGTATTTAACTAGTTCGGCTCTTCATATTGAGGCACTATATCTCGAAAACCAGAGTCACTTTATTATACTATGGCAAGTTTACAAGCAACAATTCCCGTTGGAATGTGCAAGTTGGTGTACGGTTCGATTTGGTAGTGGCTCGATCCAATAGCACACCCCAATTGCTTGATGTGTGAGCTCACCAACTGTTTCGCCATTGCCGAATGTCATTCCTTTCCAACCTTCCAACGAGCCCAAGACCGTCTACGCCGTCGTCTACACTACAAATGCTCAAGGTGTGTGAGATAGAGTTTGCTTTGCTCAGTTCACTGGATAGTATTACAATGCGCTCTTAACTCACCTGTGGGACAGCATTCGGGACCACGAAAATATGTGGCAACTGAGAACACAGATCCGCCGCCTGATCAAGGTACATTCCTCCTTCGTTATCCAAAGGTTATAGATAAATTTGCGAAATCATTTAGTAATTTGCTTGAACCCCTGCATGTCCATTTGAATATAAGTGGTCATTCCCGACAAAACCCATCCCTTCGTACGCATGCTCTACACCCAACCGGAGAACCAAGTACGTTTTCGGTCATGCACGAGTGATTCGCATAGTTGTCCTTACAGTCTCGTTGAATTTACAGCCAGATCTCCTCACGCAACCATACAAACGAGTTCAGGATAGCATGCAGCAGTTGGGCAAAGATTGGGCCTCAGAGGATGGGGAAGGTGAAAGGCTAAAGAAAAAAGTGAAGCGGTGATTGGGGTTGTGCCAGATCATTTTGATTGATGGGACGAGCATTCGTGGGTCCTTCTTGTGTGATAGTTCTATTATACCCGTATTATATGTAGGCCAACATTAGATGTCGGAGGCTTTTAATTATTGAAACCAATCAGCGATGAGAGTTTTTGCATGTAACCCGAACCTGTAAAGTTCCACATGCAGTCCAAGGTTTGGATGATAATAAACGAGGACGAAAGGGCTCGTCCGCGAAACAAATTAAGAATGATGCAAAATGACCAGCGTGCAGGAAACCTGTCGACGTGATTCACCGGCGAAGGGACTTGAAGGGCTTCAAAGATAAAAGAAAGCAGGTGACTAATGACCAAGTAGAAAGGCAAAAGCGGGAAACGGAACACATGGGCCGATGGTATGAGCAACCTTGATGCCTGTAGCGAACGAAAAGCCCTGCAACATTGGTGAGCGGCGTAATGGTGAGCTGGTTTTTCGTGCTGTGTTGTCGTAACGGCGGTTTTGCATCGGCGGAGCGGTCAAAGACCCGAATCTTCTGGTATTTTCATGGTCTCACCTGTTACATGGCTTTTATCGTCGCTGAAAGCCCATCTTAAGATTGTAGTCTGATCTTCCCACGTCAAAATATAGTTTTGAAACCAGAGGCAGTGAATGCAAAGCATGGCCGAACAGCAACGTCCATCAACACCTCCTTTAACTCCTCCTCGCGATCAAGCGAAAGGAGAAGCGGTCATCGTCCCCATTCCCATCGTCATGGGTGCCATTGAAGAAATCGTTACTCCAGGCAGAGAACACCCTCCAGAGGAAGAAGAAGAAGGCAACGAGGACCATGAAACAGACGTATTCGGCCGTAATTACCCAACTGCTCGTCGTGCAGCGACAGGAGAAGCTGTTCCTATATCAGGCAGCGTACTACCAGGTATTGGTACAGTTGAGGCTCCTATTCAAACTGCCCGTGCTGCGCTGCATATTGCGGATGAGATGGGTGCCCTTCCTCCGCGAAGCGTCGTAGAGCGTGGAGCAGAGATGGCTGGTGAGGAACAAGAGAGAAGAAGCATTGAAGGAGTCGAAAAGAGTGGGGAAAGGAAACACTTTAGAAAAGATGAGGAAAAGTTTGAAGTGCCGCAAGTCGGGGAAGAGAAACCGGCAGAGGCTGAGCACATTCCTGGTGAGTGGAATGTCAGTCAGCGGGTGGATCCTTCCCGGTATGATCCAAGGGTGCCGTATATTGCGGGTTTCTCGAATGGTATTGAAATAACGGTAAGGAGAGTTCAGAACTATATAGAGCGACCGGCAACAATCTGACCATCTCTTGCAATTCCATCTAGGATCCCATTATACTCGAGACCAAATTCGGCGCGGAATTTCCAAAATGGCTTCGAGGTATTTCAGAGGCCCAGTATTCACAGCTGTAACACCCTCATCATAGTATCCTTCCTTGTCCTAACTCAATTTCCCAGGGGCATACTACCGTAACGGCCCAGGGTTGTTTGATATTGAGTACCTGGACAAAAAGAGGCATATCACTACCTTCAGTTTCGAGCACTGGTTTGATGGCTTGCCACTCGTTCACAGGTCAGTATTGTTGTTCTGCAGTTTTTGCCAAAACAAAAAGTCATCTTCATAGTTATCGTCTTGCGCAGATTTCAAATCGACGGTGCGAAAGGGGAAGTACAGTATCGGTCCCGCTTTACCGCCACGACATTGGAAAACCTGATTCGAGAGTATGGAAGGAAGACGCATAAGACAACTGACACGGATTTGGGAAGGTTGGGGTTAAGTAGGATGGAGTCGGATCCCTCGGCGGTCGCTGGTATGTTAATGTCATGTTGACTGTGGTTCCTCTCGCTATTGCTAATACATAATGGTATTTCCTTTGTGTAGTAAATTTTGGTAGGTTATCGTTTCATTCACGCTTGTCCAGCTACACGCATTTTACAGGATGACACGGACCTACTATCCATTTAGCGATTCAACCGGGTTTCCCTATCGGTCACGGTCTCCCTGTTTCCGATCATCTTGTCCTAACAACAGACTCGACTCTCCTGCAGGAGATCGACCCAGTTACATTGATCCCCAAACGGGCCTTCCGTTATGAGCACATCCACCCGGCATTCAAGGGTGAGGTGGCGGCCGCGGTCGCCGCCCGGGACATCCAACATAAGATTCTGGTGAACTATGCGATGGAGTATTTAGCGAACGGACACGCCAAGTATACGTTCTTTGGGCTGGCAGAACAGGACAGGTTTGATCCTCCGGTTTGTATCGTCACTTCGGACCATATTTTTTTCGCACATGTGGGTTGAATGACACTGATCATGTTTGTAGGGTCACCTCATGGCAACAATCACAGGCCGTCCAACCCACGCTCACTCGATCGCACTCACAAAACACTATGTTGTGCTTGTTGCATTCCCTTTCACGACGACGTGGCGTACTGGGTTCCGGAAAGTCGTCCCCTGGCTTTCGCACCCTTCTCCATCGTCGCCCTCAAGTATTCGCAAAGAAATGTACTTTGACCCACACGGTCACACCACTTTCCATGTCATTGTAAGTTGCCATACTCCTACAATTTTCAACGTAACGTGTACGATAATTCAATGTTCAATATCTTTAGGACCGTGACCGCCGTGAAGAAGTCTGCATTTTCCGCACCGGTCCAATGTACGCCCTGAACATTATCAACGCATTTGAAACCGACGACGGGCAAACGGTGTGCATCGACATGAATACATACGACAATGATGAGATTTTGAGGTGCTGGGATCTGAGGAATTTGAGGACGTCGGAGATGCCGCCTTGGCCAGGTGCAACGGTTAGGCGATATGTTTTGAGTAAGATTCCAGAGGTATGTGTAATATCATGCAAGGGTGTGATAGTCGTACTTAAGCACCGAGAACAGGCATCAACTGTATACAAAGTCAACAAATCAAAACTGCCCGAGGTAAACAAAACACATACTATATAGTACCAGTCTGGCTGAAGTCGCATTTTGATCCCCCTTCTCGTAGCCCTTTTTCACGCACCGAACTGATTTCACCCTTGAATGGCCTCGCATCAATCCTGACTCTCCTACTCATCAATACAATTACGCCTGGGGCCTGAGCATCAGTCCAGAAAAAAGGAAACTAACCAACGTGGTTTGGGACACGATTGTAAAAGCTAATGTGGCGGAAAAAAGTAGAATCGAATGGAGGCAGGAGGGCTGTTATCCCGGTAAACTTGACAAAGTTCTTTCCAGTATTATGCAGTGTAAACGTGTACGCTTAACTTTGATGAACATAGGCGAACCCATCATGATCCCAAACCGGGAGGCCGAAGTCATCAACGAAGACAACGGCGTCGTCCTCAGCATTGTTCTCGATACGGTCAACAACAACATTAGTTTCCTATTGGTGTTGGATGCCGCTACGATGCAGGAATTGGGAAGGGCTAATCTACCTGTCCATGTTCCGTTTGGGTTCCATGGTATGTTATTCGCTGCCCTCATGGTGTTTAAGACGTTTTCATTGATTGAGTGGGTTTCATGTTCAGGCGCTTGGACGCAAGAAGTCCACGGTTGAAAACGTGTGTGATGATGTCGGGTCAAGATTCTGTACGAAAATGGCTGTTCATTAGGGGCCATGTCTCATCGCTGCTGCATTCCTATCTTGTTGTTTGCTGGGCTGTGTATTTGCAAGGAGCGTACATCTTTCGCACGTCAAGGCATTTTAAGTAGTTCCTGTGATGCAGTTCCTCGTTTTGTATGTTATGATAGCGTTATTTGGGCTGTAATGCGTTATGCTGAATATTGAAATTTTTTAGTGAAATACTCTGTCGTCTGTGATATAAACGGTTCAAAACCTCAAACTAGGAAATGGTAGCATGATTTGCACTTAAGACTTATTCAACTAAATTCGGCCATCAGCCCCCCCCCTCGTCCAGCAAAGAAAGAAATGCACAGATCGTCTATAGCCATCATACATAGCCCCAACCCACTGCCCTCCCTAAAGTCACTTCGCCTTGTGCAGTATGCACTGGCGACGTCCATATAATACATACAAGAAAAAGAGTACCGTGTACATTCAATCAGCTTGGAAGCAGATGCTAATGCACGAACGCCGTCTAGGTAGTCACAACATGTGCGCCAGTAACATGAAGTTGTGGTAAGATATCTCTTAGGTACTTCCCGCTGGCTGCTCCATTTGCGTATCGACCGGGCTATTAAGTGTTACAGATTCGGTCGGTACCGGGTGATTGCTCTCCAGCATGGGCTGCTGCTCCACCTGTTCCCCACCCTCTTCCTCATCACCCTCCTCTCCATCGCCGTCGTCGCTCTCATCACCTTCTTCGCCTTCTCCGTCATCCGGTCCATTTTCGCCATAATCTTCCTCATCATCTTCATCTTCCTCGCTCACATCAGCAGGTGCAAACCGGTCCCCTGGTCCCTCAACTTTCGTCCCGCAGTCAAGGCCATCCGTAAAGTCCAACACCTCGAACCACGTCCGTCCACCTTCCCGTTGCACCGCGCAGACCAGACGCTGTTCATCCATACGTACTCGCCATACGCCTTGGACGTTTCCAACTAGGTCGCGGATGAAGCGCCCGTGCACAGGTTGCGGACCGTTGGGACCTTGAGTGAAGGCTAAGGATGGAGCGAAAGGCGCCCCAGGTGGCGGCTGTCCGGATCCATAACCTGTCGAGCTCAGCTCCCAGACCTTCACTCCACCGTCGGAACCAGAGACTATCCGATTCAATTTTGGATCGTGATGGAAGCAAGTAATTGCCGCAGAATGACCAGTCAGATTTGCGAGGCATTGGCCGGTTGTTGGAGACCAGATACGAAGCGTAGCATCAGCAGCTGCTGATACAAGATATTGTGGCGACAACTCTAGTAGACCGACAAGCGAAGTGTGACCTGGATTTCATAAACGATAAGGTTGCTTATATCTTTTTGTGCAGAAGAGTTATCTTCTTACCTTCCAGATTGAACATTGCTTGACCAGTTTTAGTGCACCACACGCGAACAGTGGCATCCATGCTACCGCTGACAGCTCGCTGCAGCTCATGACTGTATCCCACACTGTACACCTTTTCCCGATGTCCACGACATACATGGTCGCAGTTTCCAGTCGTCAAGTTCCAAATCCGTACAGTACAATCGTAGCTCCCGCTGACGAGTACATTTCCAAACCCTGCGATTGCACGAACAGAGTTGTTATGACCGCTCAACACGTGCCGGAAGAAGGGATTCTGATTCGCTTCCCCGGGAGTCGGTGATGATCCACCGGTTGTCGTGGGCAGATATGGTTCGTCTCGCTTCGGATGTGGTAGTCTCCATACTCTTAACGTAGCGTCGCGAGAGCCTGTCACGACAAGCGGTACTTCCGGCTCCAGCCGGCCAGTTTCAGGATTTCTCCATGGAATGATAATAATCAAGCATCGGACGGTGGATGTATGTCCTTCAAAGAGATGAGTGCATCTCCCGGTATCCATATCCCATACTCGCACCGTGCGATCTGTTGATCCCGATACCAGTACATCATTCCAATATTGAAGGGCCCAGACACCACCCTCATGGCCCTCAAGTCGTTTTCGGAGCTCGCCGGTTCCTGTGTCATAAATGTGGATAGTTTGGTCATCTGAGCCGGATACTATCTTTCGAGCATCGAATTGCAAGCATGTGACCACATTAAATGCGTGGCCAGGGAATGAAATGTGTTTGTATCGGCCGTGAAACCAATTTTGACGAATAAGGTGGTGCCTGCGATAGAGATTTTTGTAAAGTTGTGCAGGGAGTTGTCCGTTTTCTGATGAGAATTCAATGAGTTTCCGCGCGTGGCTTGGAGAGTTGACTTCGCTCTTCCAATTTTCCGGCCAGTCGGCGGCGCTTGCCACTCGATTTTGGCCGGCTCCTGACGACCGACCCAATGTGTATTCATCGTCGCTGTCCTCCATCGGGTCCGCAGACCGAAGGCCGGCTGGCGGGTTCGTCCGTATAGATGGATTGTCAAAAGTAATCTCTAATTCAATCTCATCTTCGTCGTACCACCCTTCACTAAGCAGGCGTTTCTTCCACACTGCAACTTCAGCGCCGTCGCCATCCACAACTCTCTTCCACGCTTTGCTTACTGATGCGCAGCGCCCCAAAGATCTCAAATCTAAATATTGCAGTACTTGGTAACTAAGTTCTACAGGTAGCAAGCCCACAAAATCGCGCTTTAGGCTAGGTAGAATCAGAGAAGACACAAATTGCAATGTTGGAAAGGGGCAACGTCGTAATAACTGGAGGAGAAGATAAGACTTAAGAGGAGTCGGCAAATTGTCAAATGTAGATAGGATGTACGGAATATCGCCCAGGGAGGGTAAATCGGCAAACTCTGCTGGAATCTGAGATTGCTCGGTAAATGTGAAAGATGTCGATGGAGCAGTACCATTCATGGTTGGTAGCGACCCGAGGATACTGCTAATCACGGGATGTTGGGCTTCCATGTCTGGATTCGGGAAAGCGCTTTTTGTGGTCGGGGACATTGTGGGACTTGGAAGATTAGGAGTCACGCTCTCACTAAGATCAGGATCAGTGCTCTGCGCAGCTCCAGGTATATCTACGGGATTAGCCTCAGGGAAAGGTGTCAAGGGAATAGGAATTGGAGTTCCAGCTAGCATGGGCTTTCCAACAGGGGTAATACGATGATCGTCATGTCGTATAGAGTGTGCTTGTGGCGCACCAAGTGGGCCCCTTCGCTTTGGTGCGCGAGACCGACCTTCAGCAGGGCTCACAAGCGACGGTGAGACGTTGCTTTCTTCTAATTCCGTGGCAGTCATGGCGGCGTAGTTTTCCGGTGATACAGGTCTTTTGCGGTTACCCTTTGGAATAGGAATGACAGGGTCAGCAAACAGACGTTCTAGATCGAGTGTAGGTGATGCGGCTCCTTGTACGGGATAGGATTGCACAGACGTAGACGTGACCTATTAGGAGAAAGGGAACATCAAATGTTAACTGATCAATTGATATGCGAGACGAATCCGGCCGAATATCACACAATGCCCCTACCTGATTGTGATTAAGATTATTGTCAACAACCTCCACTTCTCGGAAGCTAGTTGGTATGCCGTTAAGATCAAAGCAAAACTTTTTCAAGGCCGGGGGTGTCGGGGTCTTTGACAAAGGGTATACTTCTGGATCCAACGGGTGGGGAGCCGGTGGAGGTGGAATATAGAGTGGAGGATAATCTGTTGTGCGAGTTGTAGTGGTGGTGACAACTGTGGTGATTACTTGTTGAGCTGCTAGAGCGTATTGCACAGACGGACGTCTAATAAGCGACTCTGAAGACGATGAGGATGATGCAGCTGAGTAGCCATCAGAAAGACAACTATTAGCTGATGTAAGCCCAAAAAGAGTGCCAGCAGAGCGAAATTGCCTACCTGACCCGGAGCCAGCCGACCCGACAAGTGTTTCAAAATTAGCAAACTCAACAGCGGGCGTCGTTACTGTAGCGGCAGTAGCAGTAGACGCAGAGGTCAAGGTCGGCGGCGGTGGTGGTGGAGTCAGAGCAGATCCTCGATTCCAGTTTGCGGAAGGGGTTGGAAGCATGCCGCTCTGCTGGAGCGGGTAAGTGGGGTATCCAAACTATACTTTCTTATCTAGTCAACTCTTTGTGATAAAGAAGAAGCTAGAGGGAACAGCTTTTGGCTTTTCTTTCTATTTTTTTCGCTGAAAAGCTGCGATGCAGCAAGGAGGTTCGTGAGAAAAATGCTCAGATTTGCTGTAAATAGTGCTTGCAATTCAACATACCAGTCTGCTCGGGAGCCTTCAGTCCAACCGTAAGTATTCGTTTGTAGAGGCCTTTGTCGGCAAACTGCGAATGATTAAAAACAGTGAGCTTTGAATTCACCATTTTCCTTCTCCCTGGCGTGGAAACACCGTTTCCCTGTCTGACCCGGCTGCCACATTCATCGGACTGCATTCACCGATTGCAACCCGGTAATCGACAGTAGCAACTCTTGTCCACTTACCCACAAAGCCGACACGCCTTTGCAAAAGATCACACCAATCCGACAGGTCCTTCCAAGTCGACTAAACCCACCCAGGAGAACACGGGGGTATGTTTTGTTGCACGTTCCAACCAGAACAGTAGCCAACCGCTATCTCGAAATCACAAGCCAGAAAAGCAGAGTTGAAGAAAGTCCCGCAATCACCTTCCACACCCGCTAAAATAATAAAAAAAAAACCAGGTCAATCCAACAAGGAAAATGGCCCAGCGCAGTGTGTCTGCTGTGTTTTGAGACTGGGGCGAGTGTCGACAAGCGTGCTAAGCGCGTTCAGGAGCTTATGCGGCACACCAATTATAAAATGGGGGAAGATCTTGTGACTTTTTGTTGGCTGGCCTTTTTTTTTCCTCCTTCCTTCCTTCCTTCTTCTTGGACTTTAAAGCTTGAAGGCCTGCAAGGAAGAGATGATTTCCTAGCCTTTGCAGCACACGCACACACACATGCAAGTCTTTTGGGGCGAGGGTTGAACACAAAAAGACGGTACTGTTTGTCCAATTCTTTGACGATAGGGCATCTAGACCCATCAACAGGGGAGCCCTGAAGCAAAATTCCTTCCCCTCCCCCAAAATCCATTTACATCACTATCATCTGCGCAGCACTTTTTGTCCTGACTGGGGGATTCTGACTGAATAACTCTGGTCTTTTACGTTGTTTTGGACTTTTCGCCCTGCTCTGAATGTTGACGTATGTTGGCGAGACCCAGCCATGTTGGTGCTTCCTATTGAAAACTCCACTACCTATGTGGACAAGGAAACGATAGATCTATTAAAAAGTTTCAACATTTACTGGACATTTGTGTTCCACCGTTAAGTTGCGATGGTGCTGGGACTCGCATATAAAACGCTCGTTTCCCATTTTGAAGCACTGTTGGAACTTGGTTTCTGCAGAAAGAGAGGTCCCAGCATTGAAATATCAATTGTGCTCACTCGTTTTTCTAATGCATGTACACTCCAACCATCAATGAGTGCTATTGCAAAGGCAGCTAAATCCTACACTGTTTATCGCCGGGCACCTTTTATGGCACACTGCAACACTAACTTGCAACCATGCAGTTAGTGTAGGAGTGGTACATGGTTGCATGGCGTTTATGTCTGGAGGATTGGGCAATGACCTTTGTTGTCATCATTTCTGTACAAGTATTCACTTTATCAATATATCAAGGACTTGGCAGCTAAAATAGGAAATCCAACACTTTTCGAGTTCATATCACTTGCAAGGGCGGGTAATATCACACATTTCATTTGAAAGCTTCAACCGCTAATCACCTATATTCAAACATGGAGTTCTCTATAATTGATTTCATCCAATCTTACGATCATCATCTATGCTGTTTCAATAGTGCGGAGCCGATGGGTATTGGCACTAGCACCCGCACCAGGGATTGAACCGGCGACAACCAGTTCGGAAAAGGTAATCTAACTAATCTACGCTACGGCTGGAACACCCCTGCTGAACACTTTTGGTCTACCGTGTCCATCTAACATTGATTGCACGATCATCAGCATGTTGCAGGTGCTCAGCGTGTCCCTGTTCCAGTAGCGCATCGTCCAGGCTTGCTGACAGTTAGGGTTGGTACAACCCAGCAATCCATGGACTTTTTCAATCTTGCCTTCGCGACGGCGCCAAGGTCTTGAATGAGGTCGTGTTTTGAAGCCTTTTTCAAGGAAGTCAGCAGATGAGGCCAAACAGTGAGGGCAGACAGATGAGGTCTTGTACTCGTCGAGAAGGAAGCAGTTGATCCTGTTGCGCTTAAAGAGGGTGCGCCAACCTTTCGTCTTTGATGAGGTCTGAAATCTTGCAGTTCGACCGGCATCACTCCAATCACCCATCACAATGGTGAAGTTCCCAAACTTGTTGCGCATGTTGGATATGAGGTTTGATTCACTCTTCTGACGGTTTATAAATGCATGCCACTTCCACTGCGTGTGGGCAGGGTGGGAGTAGAATTCCTTTCGATGATCTGAATCTGTGCGGCAAACAAGAAGGTAGCAAGTGAAGTCCATGAGGTTCATCGTCTTGTGGCTTGGGATATGTGATTCTATGAGGTCCATTCCCGCTTCCTTCTTCATCTGCTGCCGTTCCTTTGCAAATCGCTGTGACAGTGCATATTTTTATGATTGCAATCATAAAAATATGCACTGTCACAATCGCCGGCTACCAGTCTCCTTGCAGCATTGATTGGCGGTATAGCGAAACATTGTTGCACCATTGCTGTCTTGGCAGTAGAGAAGGTCGTGCTTGTTTGGGTCGATAATGACAATGTTCTCTGCTGCTTGACAAGCAGGCAAGTTGTTTTCCACATAAAGCGCTTTAACCTCTGCCTCCATCTTGTTTGCTGACTTTTTCCCTCTGCCGCTGTGCTTTCCATACTTGTCAGCTTCAGGATGTTTCAAGTAAACTGACACCGAGGTACTGTCTGTCATGATTGAGCCTTCAAACTGCATACCACAGCGAGACTGAAAAGCTTTGGTACATAGATTACAGATGCGCAACCATAAATCGACCTTTTCGACAGTTTCCGCTTCTCGTCGCGTGATGCAAAGAAGGTGAGAGTAGAGGATGATGGTGTCGATTTGCACGTGACTTTGAATGAGCGAGCGATGAAGAGGTATGGTGCTAAACCGTCGAAATCCGTGATGCTCATAGAGTCAGGAGAGTTTGCAGTATGCAGGAAAGAAGGCGAGAGGGTCTACAGCAACCGAATATGTGAGTGGCTGGTCGTCAGAAAGGGGAATGCTAAGGGACCAAATCTCTTCTAGAAGTTCACTCTCTTCAGCAGTCAAGTCATCAAGCGACTCAGGCACAATATCAAAAAGGAAAATTGACTTCAAGTAGTGAAGACGAGCAAAGAAAGCGTTTTGCGCATCGCTTTTCAGTGGCAGTCGCTGCTTCTGTCTCTTCACATCAAGCCACAGATTAATGTACCGGAGCAGCATCATCATGAAGTGTTCCTGGACATTGACCTTCAGATTCGTCATCATACTCGCTGTCAGATAATTGACTGATTGCTGCTCTTTTTGTACATTTGGATGAACGAAGCCGACGATGTTGCAGTACCATTGGATGTATGGCAACAAGGATTCGCATAACGCCTTCTTTGCACCAGTTTTTGGTTGCCATGATTCTGTAACGGATTTTTTGTTGGTAGACTATGGTAAAGACAACTTGGGTCTCCTAGCAGGTTGTGTGGGTGTCCGTACTAGGAATCGTAGTCTCCAAATCCTTTCTTTGGGCGTCGGTAGCGACTTGAGGGCGAGAGGCAAGGAGAGTCGGTTAGTTGTGAACCGAGCAGGATTTAGAGGCTTCAGTGCAGGTGATCAGGCCGTTGAAGCGCTCTGTTAGGTTCCTGTTAACCTAGGATTGGGGTTGAGAAGCTAGTTGTGGGGATTTTTTGTCGCTACGGCTTCTGGCCGCCGACTTATTTTATTGAATTCCTCTTTTTATACAAGAATATGCTACGGTAACGTCTACACTAGTTTCCGTAGCCTTCATTAGGGTGGCGGCGTCCGATCTTCCCATCTCGGACCATCGCCATGATCGATCATGGCTGCGTAATGTATCCTTCATGCTGCGCTGGTGTAGCCCAGAACCGAGCTTGATCTTAGGGGTTTCGAAGCTTAGGTTACAATTGTGGAAACCTCAATCATGGTCACCTGATGCCTTTGAGTGAACCGGTTTATCAGAGTCGTTCGCTACATCCCCCCTTCGAAAAAGAAGGTTCGGCGACTCATCTGTGAGTGCCCGAACCTCGCTTCTACCATGACGCAACTGGATAGTCGTCGTCAGCTTCAAGGCTGTCTTCATTGATCATCCAGATTATGGTAGCGCGCCCCATGACGTTCGTGCAGAACCAAATTTGGTCAGTGGCTTCCGGAGCCGGGGTTCCAGGTGTCCTGGAACCGTTGGCTCGGGTTACGTAGAGGGCTGTGAACGTCTCTGCGGCCCTTTTCAAGTTAACCGCTCGAAAGTGGTAATAGGCGTGCTCCCGATGTTTGGGACGGAGCTGCTCTTCTGTGGTTTCAGCTGCGTTGGCTAGCTTTAACAACACTGCTCTCGCGGCTTCGATGGCTATGTCCGCGAAATCGTGGGCCTCGCGATCGGGCCAGAGGGTGAAGTGGGCCGTTTTGGGGTTTCCGGCCGCATGTTGAGGGACCCCAGCGTCAAGCCAGGCGGCGCAGGGTACGTCCCGTAATCTCTTCCCGATCTTTTTTGCGTCAGCGACGATACCGACAGCTGCTTGACCACCGTCGGAAGCCCTACTGTAGGGCTCCGCGATATGCATCGTGAGGGGCTGGCTCGTGGCGTACGGCTTTGAAGCCCCGTCAACCACCCAATCTTCACCACGATAGTGTTCGAGGGGTTTGTTTGGGTCTTCGAACAGCTCACGAATCCAAACTTCAACCCAGGTGGCCATAGCTGCTCCGAGCTGCTCGATAGAGTTCTCGGCAGCGAAGGCGTCGCTTACTTCTGACCAGGGATAGCCTTCCTCAAGGGTAGAGAGGATGCTGACTCCTTGTTGTCCTCGGATATCGGTGGTCATGGTGTTGGAAACGAAAGCTTTTGTCTCGGTGTTGATAGACAAGGTTTGCGAAGCAGAGTAGGTCTGTAAGGGAGATAGGTCGTAGGTAGTTGAAGAAGAAAAAAGAGGGGGAGCGTGCAGGGGCGTCCTTTTAAGGTCGTTGCCGGCTGATTTTGACAGCTCGGACGCGCGTAAGCGTGATCGGGAGGCTTGGTGTGGCGTTCTTGACTGGTGAGGTAAGCCGCGCGAAACTGGTTTTCTTTCTGGTGAGAGGGCGTGATTATCACGTGAGCTATTGTCCGGATAAATCGTGAAGCATTGGTGGTCGGAAGCATAAGCCAGGGCGTCACCTGCAAAGCTGACTACCAAGGAGTCCTCTACTAGTGCGCTAGTGGGAGCTCTGGATCTCCAGTACTCTTCTAAGGCTTCGGAAGCCTCTGTTAGGGCTTCCTCTGGTTCCCAGGTATCCTCATGGGGTGGGTATCCAGCCCAACGTATTCGAAATTGACGCTTTCCGCGCCTGGTTTGATGGTCTACTATTGCTTCCACTTCGAACTCGCCTTTTGAAGCGTCGGAATCCTCCATTTGTGCTTCCGCGATCCTTTCCTCAGTTTTGGCGTCGACAGGCTTCTGGTACGGACGTAATTTCGATATGTGAAACCATGGGTGAAGTCGTCTCATCTTGTCTGGCAGTTTTAGCTCATAGTTGTCGCGGAGAGGGTTGCAGTCGGTCACCGTGACTGGTCCCAGCCATTTCGGAGCGATCTTGGACTCATACCCTGCTAGGTTTTTTGTGCTCAGAAGCACCTTATCTCCTCTCCGGAACTCCAGATGTCGTCGCAATAAATCGTAATATCTTTTCTGCGAGTCCTGGGCCTCGATCATCAGATCCTGGATAAGGATGTTTAGGTCTCCAAGATGTTTACAGAGCTCTTCCGCGTCTGCATTTCTGGTTTCTGACGGCCTTTCAACGATGTCCGCCAGTGGATTGTGGGGCTCATAGCCTAGGTCCATCTTGAACCACGTCATTTTTGTCGCCTCGTGTACCGTATCGTTGATAATGAATTCTGCAACCGGAAGAAAGGTGTCCCAGTCGTCTAATCGGGTGTTGACCATTGTGGTAAGGACCTGCAAGACCGTTGCGTTGTCTCTCTCTGATTGTCCATCACCTTGAGGGTGGTAGGCTGTGGTGAGCTCTTGATTAATCTTTAGGTTTTTGCAGACCTCCTGCCAAAATCGACTTGTAAATTTGGGGTCGCGGTCTGAGATGATAGTTTCCGGGATGCCGTGCAATGGGACGTAGTGTTCTATAAATAGTTCCGCGACCTGAGTAGCTGTCGCAGTGCTCTTGAAGGGCCATACGTGGATCCTCTTTGAGCATTTACAAGCTATTAGCCAAAAGGCATCGTACCCTCTGGAAGTAAGTGGGAGCTTGGTTACGAAGTCAGTTGTGATGACTGTCCAGCGTCCCGGAGCTGGTGGTATGGGTTTCAACAACCCCGGAATCAGTTGCAGTACCCTTTTTGAGCGTTGGCAGGTTTCACATCCTGCGCAATGTTTTCTGAAATCTTGTGCCATTTTCGGCCACCAGACTTGTGCTGCAGCTCTAGCGTAGGTTCTTTCGAATCCGAAGTGTCCTCCCCCCTCGTGAAAAAGCTTGCGCACCTCGGGGGTGCAAGCAGGGGGCACGTAGAGGCGCCAAAGGTCTTCGGAGACTGAAAAACGGTGCCACAGCAGGTTATCTGCACGTTGCCAGTCCTGAAGAAAGCGCGCGTCGGCTGTAGTGTAGGTGTCGGGGCTGGTCTCCCATAGGAGCGTGCGGGCCTGTTGGGCTATGGGGTGGAGCTGGCTGGTGAGGCCAGCGCGGATGGCGGCAATGAGTGCAGGCTGTAAGGCCAGACGAAAGACGGCATCTGCCAGTGTTGAGGAAGGTGCGAGAGCAGCTGGTGTGGTGCGCAGCCGTCGTCTTCCGCGTTTCGACACCCATATTTGGGTCGCGGTGGAGCAGAGTAGGGTTTCCGCTCCTAGTAGCCGTGAAAGTGTATCAGCGACAATGTGAAAACGTCCTGGTTTGTGAACGATTGTCATCCATTCGGACCAGTAACTAAGATCGAGGGCCCAGCGGAGAAGCTTACGGTTCTCGCCTTTGTATTTAGCGAGCCACAAAAGAGCTCGGTGATCAGTAATGACCGTGAAAGGCAGGCCTTCGAGGTATGGGCGGAGTTTTCCGAGGCCCCAAATGAGGCATCCGGCCTCGAGTTCGACGGGGGGGGCCTTCTTTTCCGAGGTGGTGGTGCCTCGGGAATGGTAGCACAGCGGGTGTTTAGAAGCATCCGGCTGTAACTGTTCGAGCGTGACATTAAATGCTGTGTAGGAAGCGTCACTGTGAAGGGTGTAGGGGAACCCTTTTCTGGGTGCCGCGAGCACTGGAGCTGTTGTCAGAGCCTGCTTGGCGGCTGCGAAGGCAGAGTTTCGGGAATCGGTCCATGAAACTTCACGCTTCGCAATAAATCTGCGCAGACCTTGGTCGGGGCGCTTGCGAGCAAGGCGTCCGACACAAAAGGGGTCAATGGGTAAGTCCGCCAGCGATGATTGGCGTAGATTGACCACCGGTAGGTCTGAGGAGCTAGATTTCGGATGTTGCGAAACCTCAAATCGGGCTCCGGTGGCTGTGATTGTAGGGGCCACCGCCGTGTCGAGCATGGATGGTGAATTGAGCTTTTCAGCGCCTTTCTTCGGGTCAGCGCGACCCTTTTTAAGGTCTCGGTATTTGCGAACGCCCTCTTGGATAGCGTCTTGCAGGGGTCGGACGAGTTCCGCGTAGCGAGAAATGAATTGGGCGTAGAACCCTAGGAGACCCACAAATGACCATAGGTCACCTATGAATTTGGGTTGTGGCCAATC